ACCGTCTGACACTTGGAAGGATCGCAATGGGCACAGCACCGTCCAAAACGTGGCAGGATCTGAAAGTCCGAGGAGAGCAAGCTGAACGTTTCCTCCGAAGGAAGAAGGCCGAGAGGAACCTACCGACGGCTAATCCTCTGGACTCAAACTTCGCCTCTCGTGGTAAGGGCAAAACACCTGCAGCTACTGGTGGTGCTAATCAAGCGTCACAACAGCAATCCCGAAGGCAGCAAAAGACTTCGGGTCCGAGACTCCAAAGAGAGTATTCCTTCAAGGACGAAGACGTTCCAGCCATCTTCGAATCCCTCCTTGAAGGTAACAAGATCAAGCTACCACCTATCACAAATCAGGAGGAAGCTGACAACACTACGGACCCAAAGTACTGTGCATACCACAGGAGGGTCGTTCATCCCACCAAGGATTGTTTTGCTCTCAAGAATAGCATTCAGACCTTGGTTGAAGCCGGCGTCATAACGCTGAGGTAAGCCAATTGAGAATGGCACGACTCCGATAAGTATAAGAGTATAAACTGCTTCTCAACACTCCAAAGAGTATACGAGTATAAACTATTTCTCAATCCTCCGACCGGTATAAGAGGTTAAACTATTCCCTGATACTCCAATAAGTATATGAGTCTAAACTGTTTCCCAACTTCTGACCGGAAGTTCCTGGAGAATATTAAGCTAATATTCTTAAGGATAACCCGGTTAGGTAACTGATAATAATGTCAACTATTCCCTGATACTCCAATAGGTATATGAGTCTAAACTGTTTCCCAACTTCTGACGGGAAGTTCCTGGAGAATATTAAGCTAATATTCTTAAGGATAACCCGGTTAGGTAACTGATAATAATGTCCGAACCAGTTCCGCAGAGGAAACTGGGGGTGGACGATTTATGTAACGGGAAGTTCCCAAAACCACAGCAATGTAATGAATAAGAACTCCCATTCAAATTCTCACCGTGTCTGTGTACTCAACACTCTCTTTGTTAGAGTCTGGACGTAAGGTTCCCCATTGGTCAAACCTTCTTACAGTTAGGGCCACAGTCAAAATCCCCTCTCGATTCCCCCAATGAACGAGAGGTCCACAAATTGAGCGATCAAACCTTCCTACAGTTAGGATTGTCTCAAAACACCCACTTGGTCAAACCTTCTTACAGTTAGGACCACAGTCAAAATCCCCTCTCGATTCTTCCAATGAACGAGAGGTCCATTTTCAAATCGAGTGATCAAACCTTCCTACAGTTAGGGTCATCTCAAACTCCTGCTTGGTCAAACCTTCCTACAGTTAGGACCAAAACCGCAATTCACTCTCGATAAACGAGAAATTCATCTTTAGTTCGGTAATCAAACCTTCCGACAGTTAGGGTTATCCGAATCTTTTCGATTCTCGGAGTGGAGATCCCACTCTCAGTTTCACCTTTCCGGATTCTGGGGGTGGAGATCCCACCTCGAGTCTCCTTTCCAGTTGAAGATAGAATATAAAATTCTTCTTCTTCATTGTCGGGAGATAGAATATAAAATTCTTCCTCTCCCATTTCGGGTTCGTCTTTGCCCCAAGAGAAGACACCACCTTTTTCAAATCCCAAAATCTGTGCCTCACAGGTACAGGGAATTTTATCCCGAATCCTAAGTAGGGATAAGTCAACGCCTAACACGCGTTGCCGGTTTAGTCTTTCACCGATTGAAGAAGACAATAGAATTCCAGTTTAGGAAGTTTATCCCGAATCCTAAGCAGGGATAAGTCTGCGCCTAACACGCGCTGCCGGTTTAGTCTTTTTCCGCACAAAAAGACACCAGAGTTCGATTCTGGGGTATTCTATCCTGAAACCTAAGCAAGGATAAGTCTGCGCCTAACCCGCGCTGCCGGTTAGTTCTTAACCGTTGAAAAGAACATCCGTCCACATATTCAACATTGTGGCAGGTTGTTATTAATAACACCAAAATCCATGCCTTACACGCATGGGGAATTTCATCCTGAATCCTAAGAAAGGATATGCCGACGCCTAACACGCGTCGCCGGTTTAGTCTTTTACCGATTGAAAAAGACACCAGAATACCAGTCTGGGGTATTTTTATCCCGAAGCCTAAGTAGGGATAAGTCAACGTCTAATACACGTTGCCGGGTAGCCTATTCCCGTAGCAATGGCAAAGTCTACGTATTCGAAGTCGTAGCATCAAGTCTAAGGGAGTTCATTCCTTTAGCACAACGTCACATGCGGAACGGACTTAAGACAATCCGCATGTAAGCCCGATTCAAACGGTAGTCGGTAAGAGCACGTCAAATCCGTTGAAGGCTGAGGATTTGCCAAAAATCCTAAGTCAACGTCTGATACACGTTGCTGTTTAGTCTTTTCACAGGAGAAAGACGAAGTCTACGTATTCAATATCGTAGCACTAAGAGCGTTAACTCTCTTAGCACAACGTCACATGCGGAACGGATTTACATAATCCGCATGCTAGCCCGACTCAAACGGTAGTCGGTAAAGGCGCATCAAACCCGTTGATGGCTGAGGATTTGCCAAAAATCCTATAAATATGCGAGTCATTGACGCATCAACTTTATGAGTTGGTCTCGTGACCTGAGCAACATACGACGTTCAAAACCCTAAGGTCTACGCCAGACAACGCGTAACCTTAGGTCAACGCCAGTCAACGCGTTGCGAGCAAAAATTCAACGTACGACGTTCGAAACCATAGGGTCAACGCCGGTCAACGCGTGATCCTAGGTCAACGCCAGTCAACGCGTTGCGAGCAAAAATTCAACGTACGACGTTCGAAACCCTAGGGTCAACGCCGGTCAACGCATAACCCTAGGTCAACGCCAGTCAACGCGTTGCGAGCAAAAAATTTAACGTACGACATTCGAAACCCTAGGGTCAACGCCGGACAACGCGTAATTCTAGGTCGACGCCAGTCAACGCGTTGCAATCAAACAGTCAACGTACGACATTCGAAACCCTAGGGTCAACGCCGGACAACGCGTAACCCTAGGTCAACGCCAGTCAATGCGTTGCGATCAAAAAATCAACGTACGACGTTCAAAACCCTAGGTCAACGCCGGACAACGCGTAACCCTAGGTCAACGCCAGTCAACGCGTTGCAACCAAAGTCAACGTTCGACGATT